CACATGAATTTTAGAAGGGATGGACAGGATCTGTACAATATGCAATGCATAGTTATCAAATAAATACTCCGCTAAAGAAACGAAATGATTGGATTAACTTTAAAGGAGAAGAAAACTGTCGCTCATATAGGGATAGAAACGTGGACGGGACCGGCCTGCATGTGACAGTGTGTAACGGATTATAAACGGACATCGTCAGGACAGAAATAAATATCAGCTATGAGGGATAAGCCCAGCCGAGTAGGGGCAAGGGAGATACGACCAAACTACTAGAAGACGGCAAATACAATGTGTTCTGCCATGAGCGTCGACATACCGCTTGAGGTCGAAACTTTGTCTTCAATCAATTGATTCATCCCAGCAGCTTAATTTTCCACCACCAGCTTTCCCTTTCGGATAAGCATCAATGTACGGAGCATACATATTAGCAATAAGCTCAGTGTTGTCTCTCCCAACGCAAGATCAGTTGTGCAAAAGATGTCACAATTAGGAAGTATGGCTGTTGATTTTGACCCAGATGTTTTGTACATTACAGAATCTTGGGCTCACTCTCTAATTTCAGATTCGGCACTCAATATAGATAGTTTCAGTTTATACCGCCAGGATCGTGTCGAAAGACGCGGCGATAGTTGTCTTCTTTACAACAGAGCCTCACTTGCACGGTCGCCTTATGCCCTGAACATTTCCGCCTTCCCCGTAAATTTATGTTTAGCTTCGCATATCCTCCCGCAAAATAGAAAAGCCTTGGTCAGAGGCATATATAATTCTCCTTGTTACTTCGGAAATGAAAGCTAACTCTGTGAACTCTGAAAAAATTGCAGATACTTCTTTCGGTGTGAAGATCATCGTAGGCGACTTTAATTTGCCAGAAATTGAGTGGCACATAAATACGTCCTCTCGTAAATTCCAGAAGCTTCGTGACGCCATTCACTTTTCCAACTTGTCACAACTAGTCCACCCCTCGACAAGAAACGATAGTGTATTAGATTTAGTCCCATCAAAGCAAGTAAACATAAATTTGCATATGAATTTCAGACGAGGTAGGCAGAATCTGCACAAAATGCAATTCATAGTTTCTGAATTAGTAATCCCTTAAGAAAAATGATGAGCCAGCGGTGAAAAAAGCCCCACCTAAAGATTTAAAAATGATTGCATTAATTTTATAGGAGAAAAAACACTCGCTAATAATAACAGAAAAATGCGGGAAGGACTGGCCTGCATGTGGCGGTATATAACTGATAATAATCGGACATCGTCAGGGCAGAAATAAATGCCAGCCTTGAGGGATAAGTAAGCGGGTCGGACAGGACTGGCCTGCATGTGGTATCGTATGAGGGATTCAGAACTAACATCGTCAGGGCAGGATTGATACGTCGGATGAGACTATTCGCGTCAAAGAGGCCAGACGAGAGGAGCCCAGACGCGATCGGCCACAGTAC